AGGAACTATTTTAAATTCTATTTCCATTGGAAGTAAGGACATCCCATTGTTTCCATAATATTCCAAAGTCATACCAACTAACAGTATAAATGCTTGTGGTTTTACCCTTGGCTACAGTATAAATTCAAGTAAAGCCATAGGGGTCAGCATGTTGGGCTGAAGTATACAAAATATAAAGGTGCTGTTTCAAGGACTTCAAAAGGAGTTGCACTAGGATATTCAGTATCATACTCATCATGTTTATCTTTAGGTAAGAACCATCAGTCAGTAAACCATGAAAAACCTGCACTCACAGCAGTTTCATATAAATTGCCACAGGGATTCAAAGGTAATCTGTCAGCACCAAGCAGTCATGAGGGGTTTCGCCTAGATTCAAATGTAGTCCTTATTCTCAGATCAGGGGCCTCAATGATCAAACCTGAGTTTGAGCAAACTGCAGTTTTTCTTTGTAAACTTTAAGTCCTTTGAAGTCCAAAAGTTTGAGGGGCCTCTGGGTGGCTCAGTCGGTTAAGCCACCAACTTCAGCTCAGCTCATGATCTCACGGTCTGTGACTTTGAGCCCCACATCTGGTTCTGTGCTGACCGCTCAGAGCCTGGAGCCTGCTTTGGATTCTGTGTCTCCCTCTCTCTCTGCCCCTCCCCCACTCATTCTCTGTTTCTCTCGCTCTCAAAAATAAACAAACATTAAAAATTTTTAAAAAAAATTTAAAAAGGGGCGCCTGCGTAGGTCAGTCGGTTGAGCATCCGACTTTGCCTCAGGTCATGATCTCACAGCTCGTGGGTTCGAGTCCTGCGTCGTGCTCTGTGCTGACAGCTTGGAGCCTGAAGCCTGCTTTGAATTCTGTGTCTCCCTCTCTCTCTGTCCCTAACCCACTTGCATTGTGACTTTGTCTCTCTCAAAAATAAATAATAAACATTAAAAATTAGAAAAGTTTGGGGGCGCCTGGATGGCGCAGTCGGTTAAGCGTCTGACTTCAGCCAGGTCACGATCTCGCGGTCCGGGAGTTCGAGCCCCGCGTCGGGCTCTGGGCTGATGGCTCAGAGCCTGGAGCCTGTTTCTGATTCTGTGTCTCCCTCTCTCTCTGCCCCTCCCCCGTTCATGCTCTGTCTCTCTGTGTCCCAAAAATAAATAAACATTGAAAAAAAAATGGAAAAAAAAATTTAAAAAGTTTGAACAGGTATATTCTTCCTGTGAAGAAGTTTGAAAAGAGGAGCAGAAAAGCAAATTGTCTACATATTCTAACAGGATAGAGCCTGCATAAAACTTTATCACATCCAAATCAGCTTTTAAGTTTCATGAAAAGTAAAAAGGACTGTTCAAGAAACGCTGGGGCATCACTGTTCAGGTATATTTCCCTTCTTTCCAAGTAAAAGCCAAAAGATATTGGCTCTCCTCACCAGCTGGAGTACTAAAAACATGCCGCATGGATCAATTACTCACTTAAGAATTTGCTATCAGTGGGAATTGATGTTAGTGGCATGTGGGTGTTAGAAGCCACAGGGTGCCAAGGAATAACAAGGTTATTTATTGCTGGCAGGTCCTAGACAAACCTCCATCCTCAGACGTTGGGTTTTCTCATAGGTAAATAGGGGTATTACAGGCCAAGAGCAGGATAAGGAAGCCCCAAGCCTTGTAATATCCTATATGGGCTTGATGTCTCCTTGAGAGGCTTATTTATAGGGTGTTAATTATACGAGAGGGTTTAAGAGATCTATTTGAATCTTGATGGGACGTTCACTGTGCATCTTGCCGATGTCAATTGAGGCTTTTGCCCATAAAAAGGAGGGTAGCTCAGCCAATAGAAGCTAATTTAATTTCCCTGATTGGCTTTTATTACTATTGTCAAATTCAAGAATTATTTCCCCCTTTTGGGAAATATTTTGGCATGATACTTATCTAAGAAATCTCAGCCCAATAAATGCATAGGGGTGGAATAACTAAGGAGAAAAAGGGTATGTCTCCAAGGGCCTAGACAAAAGGGAAAATGTTCAGAAATAGGATCCTGTTGAGGTTTTTTAGAGATACCCACTATTTTAACTGTTTGCTCTAAGGCACTGCTTTGTAGCAATAGGGTTAAACCCTGAGAGTGTAGCTCTGGGGTCAAGAACAGAGAGATTTTCATTCCCAGTCTGGGCAGTGGTTTCTCTGAAGCCAATTAAGAGGGAGGATTGAGAAGAGCCCCTATAATTCCTTGGAGCTCTGTCACTGGGAATTAAGAGGACATTGGAAAGACCAACTAGAAGGCTGAAGGTACCTGCAACACTTAAATTCATAAAAATCTTTTTTCCCCAATGTCCTGGCTCTCTGCAGTAACAACAGAAACTAAGGGTTGTTTTTTGTGTTTTTTTTGTTTTGTTTTTTCATCTTGTTTAGGGGGCTTCATTTGCTGGAGTTGAAAATCGAGAATTTTAGCAGTCTTTTAGGTGATTCGTCTAAGATGTGAGCGAGCAGATTTGCCAAATTAACTAAATCTGTAATGGTGAGTTTCCTGTTTCATCCTGATCCTTTTAACTAAAAGAGAAAGATCCCAGGTAAGCCCACTAACAAACAGAACTAAATGCTACCCAGGTAGACTCAACATCTAAAGGAAGAGGAAAAAATTCTTAAAATACAATTTGGAGTTGATTGTAAATAGTCATGAACAGGTTCATCAGGCTTCTGTGTGGAAGCCTGAATCTTGTTTCAATTAGCAGGTGTAACAAAAGCTACCCTAATTGCTCGGTAGAGATTTCCAGTGAGTGTTCTACCCTGTTGCCAAAAGTTAGGGGTTTCTCTAAATCACCTTCAGGATGTTACCTCGGGGCTAGTTTCATCCAATCTTTGGCCTGGTCCTCACCACCAAGCAGGTGAACTAATTAATATAAATCTGAGAAATGAAGTTAAGTCTGAAAAACGATGCTAAATTCTTCAGCAAATGTATGGGGGTCGTCACTCACTTTAGGAAACTTCATGACTCACACACAATTCGGTCTTAGTCCAGGAAAAATAAGAAACTTGGGTTTTATTTAGATCCTCAAAAGACTTAACTTTAAAGAGGAAGGTTTTAACAGGCTCAGGAGAGGAAGGAGGGGAGAGAGATTCCTGTCTGCAAAGAGGGAGGGGAAAGGGGCCGCAGAAGCCATTTTGATTCCTTTCAATTGTTGGTTTGCCTCAGTTAGATTAGAAATAGTATCTTGCAAAGAGGCAAACTTAGAATCCTGAAAACATCTGGGAGCCTCAGGGTACAATTTAATATAAGCATTCCATTCAGTTTTTTGCTTTGTTTTAGAGCCTCAGCTTTCTAATTTACTTTTGAGTAAAACAAGTTTGGGGAGATAGGAATTCCCCATAACAGCCATTGATGTTCTAAATTTTGGTTAAGTCAGTCCATTTAGTTATAAATGCGTGCAGGGAGGGACCATTGTTTTAAAACAAAACCAGCCAGAGTCTGGGGGGGGGGCACCCTCAAAGCATTCTGATGACTGGAATCCCATTTCATGGAGGTTTTTCTCTAGAGCAAAGAGAAAAATTTCTAAACAGCAGTTTTAATAGATACAGCCTGGTTCCAAAAGGAATCAAACCAAAGGCCAGCACAGTTCCAGTAGAAACAGTCCGGTTCCAAACAGGAGTCCCAGCAAAGGCCAAATGAGTATTCTCATACAAAGAAAAAAAAAAAAAAAAAAAAAAAGACAAACAAACAAACAAAACCCAAGGCCTTAAAACAAATCCCAAATAATGCCTGGAAAATTCAAACACAAAGCACGGAGCTCGAAATCCAGGATAAAACTTACCCTCAAACCCCAGGGTGGGCGAGAAAGCAGTGAACCCAGGCTCTCTGGGCACCAGCACCCATTTGCTCACCACCTTCAGAGCTGTTGGGGGTCTTCTCTAGATCCCACTTCTGCTCACTAAGTAATATTAACCTTGAAAATAAAACTGCCAGCTATTTTACCAGCAAAAAAAAAAAAAAAAAAAAAAAGTGTTTTTTCGGGAATAGCAGAGAATTGCAAACCAGGACAAACAGGCTACAGCAAAACCATAGGCAGATCCACAGAACAAAGGAGAAACAAAGTACTCTTTTATGGAGGAAAAGGAGAAGTTAGGAAGGCTGTTAAAAACAGTCAATCGGAGTAAACTAGGAGTCTGAAGTATAGTGGCCTTTCATTGGCTAAGTTGTAACGACGTCTCATTGGCTGGGCTGTTGCCAGGGAGGAAGAAAGCCTTTCTTCCCCCTGCTAGGGTAGTAGAGTGGTATCCACCGGCAAGGTGCCCCAGCTCTCCTCGTTGACAAGGAGTGGTCGAGTGTGAGAGCTCCCCCTGCTTGGCCTCCTGACTCCATTCCAAAGGAGGTTTCTTTCTGATTTTCACACGACTAAGTCCTTCCTCGTTCAACAGGAGTTGAACCAGGAGTCATCAAACTCTAGGTGTCACGTGGTTTTTCATCCTGCCTGCCAAAGGGTGTTTGATTATGGTTCCCAAAAGCCTTAGACATTGTTAGGTGGGCGAAAGGAAAAATTAAAGACCGATTTTTACCGCCCTTCTTGGGTTGTCTTGAGGTACCTAACAGAAAGGGCTGGTAGATAGGGAAAAGCAAAGGTAAGCACAACATCCTGCCTTCCAATGTGCTGTTGTAGGGCTGAGATTCTTTCAAACTAAATATTCATTTTCTTGCAAAACGATGGAACGTGCTGCTTGGGAAATACCTCATCATCCTACTTCCTTGCTAGTGTGCCCAGAGTGCCACCCGAGGGGCACAGCAGGGCAATGAAACAAATTTGCATTTGAGGTCAGACCTGGGTTTGAATGCCTGCCTGCCTGCCTCTTTCGGGCAGGCACTAACTGTGAGACCTGGGAGGTTACTCAACCTCTCTGAGTTTCCTCATCATCGGCTGAAGGCAGGCCCTCAGGGAGTGGTCAAGGTGGGTGACTACACCCACACCACCTTTTCTTAGGGCTCAGTTTTGCTTTTCTTACAGGGCCACGAGGACCAGACCTGGAGGGGCAGGGGAGAGGCACTGACCTCGAAGTCAGGGTGGTGGCGGAGGGGTTGGCACAACGCTGGATCCTGGCAAGGGCAGCGGGCCCCTGCCCAGAGTGGCAGCACCAGCAGCGGCAGCAGAGCGAGCCCAGGAATGCCACGTGGCCGGCGGGCGAGGAGGCACAGGCGAGAGAGCAGCAGCAGGGCCATGACGGCAGTCACTGCCCGGCAGGAGTACCTTCCTCCAACTGGTGGCTCAGGTCCAGCCTCTCAGCAAGGCGGACCCTGCCTAAGGGCAGAGGTGATGGCGTGGGAGGGGCTGAGCAGTCTGGGCCACTGGGGACATGAAGGTCGGGTGAAGGAGAAAGGCCGGGTGAACATCTCCCCTGGCAAGCCAGTGCCTCATGCCCCCAGCAGACCTGCTGACTCAATCAAGTAAATATCATCACTCCCTCAAACTCACAGACACCCCCTCAGCACTCTACACCTGTCTTTGTGTCGTGGCCTTTGTACTCCTCGTGCAGTATAAACGTGGAAGCAGTCCCCCAAATGAGAAGCAGGGGGCTTTGAAAGAGATGACTGAGCAACATGGTTGGAATGGTGCGGGTTACGGAGCTCTCCTGGGGTGCTCTGAAACTGGCCCCCATGCACAGAGGGCGGGGAGAGACCAAAGACAGAGGCAGCCACTCCAACCAGGTTGGTAGGTGGCAGTTTTTTTTTTTTTTAATTTTTTTTTTTTAACATTTATTTATTTTTGAGACAGAGAGAGACAGAGCATGAACGGGGGAGGGTCAGAGAGAGGGAGACACAGAATCCGAAACAGGCTCCAGGCTCTGAGCAGTCAGCACAGAGCCCGACGCGGGGCTCGAACTCACGGACTGCGAGATCATGACCTGAGCCGAAGTCGGCCGCTTAACCGACTGAGCCACCCAGGCGCCCCGGTAGGTGGCAGTTTTAACAAAACAGCAAAGGGAACTTACATACGAGGCTCGTCTTGCACAGCAGCAAGACGAATGGATCCCTGTGGCTGCCCTCCACGTCTTAAAAAGCTTATTAAGAGGCCCTAACTGGGCTCAGGCACATAATACCGTGCAGATGTTTTTACCACCACATCACCACCTCAAGGTTATGTCCTTGGAGCAGCCTCTGGGAGCAGGAAAGGCAAGCGGAACCTGTATTCCAAGGACAGGGGCGCGGGTGAGGAGCCTCAGAGTGCTCACAGGTCAACGGGCGGGCGGGC